ATTCCAATAAACTTGAAACTTAACTGAAACTGTATTTGAGCCTCACTAAAAATTCAAGTCTTTCTGTGCTTTCACTTTCAGTTCTCTCAATTCAAATTCTCTAAATTCAATTTCAATCCACAAGATTCAGTCTTAAGGTCACAGGCAGTAATAATAATAATAATAATGATAATAATAATAATCTTTAAGCACTTTTAAAAAACAAGTTACAAGTGCTTTAACAAGTGTAAAGACAATAATACCCAAAAGACAATAATACAAAAACAATACAAGATAAAAGCAAGAAAACATTGACTAAAATACACGTTTAAGATAAATATAAAACAAGTAAAATACAATAAAATAAAAGGGATAAAATAAAGTCAAATAAGATCGGGACTCCTATAAAAGTATGTTTTAAGAAGGGACTTAAAAGAGTTCACTGACTCAGCCGACCTGATTTCCTCGGGCAGGCTGTTCCAGAGCCTCGGGGCCCTGACAGCAAACGCTCTGTCCCCTTTAGTTTTCAGTCGAGACTCTGGAACAGACAACAGACCTCTGCCCGAGGATCTCAAGGTACGTGCTGGTGCGTATGGGACTAAAAGTTCGGAAATATAACAAGGCGAGAGGCCATGAAGAGCTTTAAAAGTGATCAATAAATTTTAAAGTCAATTATAAAACATACTGGGAGCCAGTGTAGTGAAGCTAAAATAGGAGTAATGTGGTCATATTTCTTTGTTGTGGTTAAAAGCCTGGCAGCTGAGTTCTGGACAGTCTGGAGTCGATCAGTAGATTATTGGTGATAAACAAGTTAAAAAGCTGTTGCAATAATCCAGGCGTGATGAGATGAAGGCGTGTAAAATGGTCTCGGTGTCCTTAAAAGTTAACATAGATCGAATATTTGCTGTATTTCTAAGTTGATAAAAACATGATTGAACAAGCTTTGTGGTGTGCTGCTCGAAATTTTAATTACTATCAAACCAAACACCAAGGTTCTTTGTGTAGTGGGGTGTGTTTTCTAAGCAGGCTCATAGGTTTTTAGCCTTGCTCTTGAACGCACTTCTGGAGCATGAAATTAGCTCCACCCAGATCAAACCCCCTCATTAGCTGAGTATATTTAAAGCAGCTGTAGTATCATGGCTGCCTCTTTGCTTTTTCCCTGCCTATCTGTTGCCACATGAACCCTCTGGGATGTCTAGGTAGGTGAGTGAGTAAAAACCTTGTCTTATGTTTTCATTGTCGTTTCCCAGTGACTGAGGTTGTATGTTTTGCAGCAGTCTACTGCCTGCCTGTTATGTAGTTTGGCTGAGACCAAGGTTCCCTGTCTGGAGTGGCGTGATGTAGTATTCCTCACAGAGCACCCTGTGTTAAGGTACGAGAAGCTTAAGGAGCAACAAGTAGAGTATGATAAATAACTGTTAATTACTTTTATAAATCTGTTTTAATATGTATGTTTTCAATTGTAGGTGGTCAGCTGCTGTTTTGCCTTTGTGAAATTAGGATTTTAACCATTGTTGCTGGTACACTCTGGCTGTAGTGCCTCCAACCGGCACTCCCCTAGTGGACTATGCTTGTATTTTATTGTAGCGTTAACGGCACTGGGGCTAGCCTGGCTACATTTGCAACAGGCTTAATGTGACTTACTAGGGAACCAGCAGATGGCAAAACTGCCATCTGCTGGGACCCAATGACCAGGATTTCTATTTTGTCTGAGTTCAGCTGGAGGATTTGATTTGACATCCATTTTTAACTTCACAAAGGCAGTTAAGTGAACTCAGCATTCCAGGGTCTGTGGATCTGACAGGCAAGTACATTTTTGTGTGTCATCAGCATAAATATGAAAAATACCATGTTTATGCATAAAATGTCCAAGGGGAAGCAGATACAAGGAAAACAAAATGGGTCCGACCCCTGAGGCACACCATATTTAACTGGACAGAACGGAGACATAGTTGTTTACAGACACGCAAGACTTCCTATTTGACATTGCGTGGAATCTGATAGTGCCCAAGGAATGGCAGACCAGGGTGATGGTTCCCCTATTCAAAAACGGGACCAGGGGATGTGTGCCAATCATACATGTCACCCTGGGGAAGTCTACACCAAGGTGCTGGAGAAGATGGTTTGTCAAATAGTCGAACCGCAGATTGAAGAGGAACACTGAGGTTTCTGTCCTGGCTTGGGTACCTTGCAGGTATATTTCAAGTAGCCGGCTATTTAAAAACAATAAAATATTCTGGTTCATCAACGGTGACAAATTATCCCAAAGCCCCGCAAGGTGCGGACAACTTGGCACAACACCAGTGAAGCTGGAGCTCCGTCTCTTCAGCAAGTGTTCCTCTTCTGCCCCTACACACATGCTACGCCTACACATGTGCACTGACGAACCAGGGTTACAATTCTGGATTTATTTACGCACTACTTCTCACATTTTTATTTACAGCATTATTTTCATATTTATTTTGAAAGACTCTGTATATTAACTTATTGTGAGGGTTCTATGTAAAATCAGACAGTGAGCACCCACCTCACCAAAATGGCATGCTCCTTGTTTCGCTGTGAAGCTTCAACTGAGAGTGACAGTCAAATCAGCCTCTGCCCATTGAAGCATCACGTCTTCGACTATTCGGGGTCAGCCCTACTGTTTACTAACAATTTCAAATACTTGAACTGAAAGAATTAAAAATATAAAACATTTAGAAATAGTTGACCATCAAATGATCATGTTTTATTTCTATAAGGATTTATTGTGTGTATAGGAACATTCAAGAAGGGCAATGTTTGCAAGGTGCACATCCTTTTTTTTTTTTTATTTACAACTATTCTTACATTACAACAAAGACATAAGCTGAAATGTTATGCATGCATTACACAATTACGTAGTATTTACATGAACTAGACATTCTAACAATCACAAAATATTTCAGGGATTTTACTCACTTTAGTGTTTAAGTCCAATGAAGTCCAGTCCAAAGAGATGTACTTCCAGGAAAGTTCGCAGGTCGTATGATTTCATGGCCTTATGACCAGAATTCATAATCTAATGGCATTGTGAGGCTAAACAACATTTGCTTTGTAAATGTGGTCTTTCAAAAAAAAAATTTGCAGATGTGCTTTTGGGAGGGCTAAAAGTGATTTTGTAATTTTACAACCACGGGTCTTACAAGTTAAGTATAAAATGAAATAACCAAAATTGATCAGAAATGGGAAAACTAACACATTACACACAGTGCTGGTGTAAATGAAGCCTTTCTCAGCAGGTGAACTTTCAGATGAAACTGAGGTTCAGTAGCTCAGTCTGCAAATCAAAGCTCTGCTGTATACTTAAAATGTTCTATCAACAGTCAACAATACAGATGCTAATTGTAGTAAAAACTAGTTTGCAAAAATCTATAATTTCTTTAAATTTGATTTACTTGCAGTGGACCTGTGAGGTTAAAAGTGTGTGTATATTCAGGTGTATGTCAACTGTACTGACTGGGAATGGAATGTTTTCAGGACTGCTACCGACAGTCTAGATAACTTTACAGATGCTGTGACGTCCTACATCAGCTTCTGTGAGGACAGCTGTGTACCATCATGCACCAGGGTGAGTTATAACATTGACAAACCCTTGCTCACTGCTAAGCTCAGACAGCTAAGGTTGGAAAAGGAAGAGGTGTTTTGGAGTAGAGACCGAGCCAGGCTTAAGGAGCCAAAGTACAGGTTTAGCATTGCAAGATGTTAAAAACGGCTGTATTCAGAGAAACTTCAACACCATTTCTCAAGTAACGACTCTGCTTCTGTCTGGAGGGGGTTCAGACAGATCACCAGCTATAAACCTAAACATTTTTAACACCTCACTGGAGACATGCCATGTGCAGCCTGCTTCAAAGCCTCCACCATCACTACACACCCGTCGCCCTGACCTCTGTGGTAAGTCTTTTGAGTGCCTTGTGTTGTCTCACCTTAAATCCATCACAAACCCTCTCCTTGACCCCCTACAGTTCGCCTACAGAGCCAACAGGTCTGTAGATGATGCAGTTAACCTGGCCCTTCACTACATCCTCCAGCACCTGGACTCCCCAGGAACCTACGCCAGGATCCTGTCTGCGGATTTTGGCTCTGCTTTCAGCAGCTGAAGAAGTTCAGCCTGCCAAAGACAATGATGGTGCACTTCTACACCGCCATCATTGAGTCCATCCTCACCACTATCACCATCTGGTACGCTGCTGCCACTGCCAGGCACCCCCCCCCCCCTTTTTTCAAATAATACAAATGTCTCTGCACATGTAAATATCACTTCATATCATGCACAAACCTGGCACATTTCACATATTTGTTGTTAATAGTTGTTTTTTATATTTCAATTTAAACATTGTAGGTCTTCATTGTGGTTTCACAAAGGATCACATCATTCTGTACTGTCCAAGCAACTCTTCACTCCACACTTTACAGCTCAAGTAGTACAATAAAGAACCTTATCTTAAAGATAACACTTTCCTACCATATGCACCATAAATTACTATTTCAGTTGGGTCTTTCAATTTAGCTGTTTAAATCAAAAGGGCATGATTTATTGAGGCTGAGATAGGAACCGAGTCAATGCCGATTTTAATCTTAGTACCTCACTAAGTTGTAGAGGCAGACTAATTTGACACCATCAAGCTATTATGGAGGTTTCAAAGTGCACTTCTGTATTTACTGTGCTTGTTGTTGTTTTACATTACATCACAGCAGATGTAAAAATGTATGTGTATGTTGATTCTACACTGTGTCTCAGTCTCTATTACTCATACTATGTATTGTGTAAACATTAAATATGTTATTAAAAATAAATTAGCCATGTTCCTGCAGACTGCAGCAGAGTTTAGTATTTGTCACAGCACAATGGTGTTTCTCCTGATTTATTACCAACCATGATTCAGGTGTAGTAAAACAATAAAAATTTTCAAGTCAAATGACGTGAATATGTAACAGCTGAATACTCTCTCATAATGGCATTGTCGTATCTGATGAAAAAAAGAAAAACAAGATAACCATTGGATGATAATTTTTTTTTTATGTACAGAATATAATTAAAGACCAAGCAAATCAGAGATACTGACATCCTCAGTGATGTTGGGAAGTGGTCAGGTAGTTTAATAGCTGACAGTTTTGGCTGGTTTTGTCTCATCCAGGTCAGCTTCCAGGTAACGGAATCGGCGGTGGCGGCGCAGAATCTCAATAGCCTTTTGTTCTACAGCAGATGGAGTGATGCCAAGATCCTCCAGACCTGGAAGTCCTGGGTACTTCATGTCTGTTGTGTGAAACTTATAAATAAAAGAGCAGTGCAATAGTGAATATCTGGAGTGTTGGCATTAGAGCCTTCACAGTTGGTGGTCAAGTTTAAAGTTATACCAAAATCAGAATCTTGGGTTTCCTTACCCTCTCGACTTTGTCTGGGGTTGTCCACGGCTCAAATGGGTTCATTGCAAAAAACTGAGCAGCAAGGCTGAAAAGAAAAAACAAGCTATCACATGATTGTACAGTAGTACAGTAGATTGCAGCCGGTAACCTTCTCTGCAGAGTGGATGATATGCTGCAGTCTGCCTTTGTCCCTGGCAGTGGCAGCAGAGTTTCAATTGTTTGTATAACATGTTCCATCAGTACATACATGTAAGCTTATTTCATGTTAGTTTAGAAATATGCATTCAGTGTGGTTAAAAACTTTTGTCAGTTACATAGAAGACGACTCGTCTCCGTATAAAGCACTTACTGATAGAGTGGGCGGGGCAGGGGGTAGGGCACAAAAGGTCTGTGTGCCACTGCGTAGATGTACTCCACCAGGTCATGAAGGAGATAACGGTTCGGACTAGACAACAAGAGAAGACACTGATGAAGGAGAGTCCTCGTTATGTAATCTATGCTCACATGTGATAAACATGAAGGGCATGAACCATGGACCAACGCATGCTGACACAAGGTTTCCATACACACATACTCTAAGTAAAAAACAAAACAAATAAACAAATCACACCAATTGTGGGCAGTCTATAAAGCCCACAAAGCCTATAAAAGCAAAATTCTGCTCACACCCACAACTAGTACGCTTTCTTGCTCATTACAAACTATGGTTATTATGATGCTCACAATATTTGCTATACATCTAAATTAGTTGTGCTGTACGTGTCCAATCTGTTATCAAATTTCAGTATTTTCTCAACTTCTAGGCACAGGTTTTCACGCAAATCTATCTGAGTGCTGACTACCTACCCAACTAATGCAAACGTCTTTCCATTAGCATCAGGGTCTCTGACAGCATTGATGATGGCCTTGGCCACATCCACCACCTGAGGGAGAAAAGAGACTGTTTAGTTGGGTTCATTTAATAGGCACATTCAGTGAGTTGAGTGTTTGTGTGAAGTGTGTATTGTCTCCTTTAGACAAAAGTGGAATGTCACTTTTTATTACATTTGAAGCTTCAATTGGGGCATTCAAATGAAGCTTTGAATGTGTCATATTTTATTATGCCATTGCCCTTAAATCCTCAATGCGAATAGTCACATGAGACTAGCGATGAATCGTTGAAATAATCTATAGAAGCTTCAAATACTAATATCATCGTTAGCTGCAGCCCTACATGACACTGTAACAACTTAAAGGCCGAATGTTTGTGGACAGCCATTCAAAGTTGGCCCGAGGGCAGCGATGGTCAAGCACACAGAATCTGCCCTGTGCAGCTGCTAGCTAATCAGTTTTTGTTGTTCTGGCAATGATGTTTTGTAAAATTGTAAATAACACGCAAATGACAGAATTTGAAGTTTGAATTTATTATGAAAGGGAAAATATTAGATTTCCTTTCAATAAACTTACATGGACAGGCTGCTTCACTGTCTTCTTCCCCATTGATATGAGTGGAATAGCATTGCCAAACCAGCGCATGTCTGAAAAAGGATAAGAGCAATCACATTAAATTTTCACTGGTAGCAGCTGGCTCAATGTTTGTACCAAAGGAAACATTTTCAGCACTGTGGAACACTGAAATGGTCAAAAGAAATTCAAATACCCATCACACAGCATACTTGATGATCTTAATCTATGGCCGCATTCATGATCTGTTTCACACACACAAACGATATGTCTTACTTGCGTAATGGTTGAAGAATCTGTCCTCCCTCCCAAAGATCTCAGAGGGCTTCATGATGATGGCATCAGGAAACTCATCTCTCACTGCCGTCTCTCCTACAGCCTTTGGTAAAGCAGATCAAAGATTAACCTTCTGTGCCCTTTAAAATACACTGGTTTAAACATGTACACTCACTGGTCACTTTATTAGGTACACCTGTTCAATTGCTTGTAAACACAAATAGCTAAACAACCAATCACATGACAGCAACTCAATTTATTTAGGCATGTAGACAAGGTGAAGACAACTTGCTGAAGTTCAAAGCAAAGCTTGCTGAAGTTTGAGCATCAGAAAGCGGACGAAATAGGATTTAAGTGACTTTGAACATGGCATGGTTGTTGGTGCCAGACGGGCTGGTCTGAGTTTTTCAGAAACTGCTGATATGCTGTAATTTTCACGCACAGCCATCTCTAGGGTTTACAGAGAATGAGCCGAAAAAAAGAGAGAATATATCCAGTGAGCAGCAGTTGTGTAGACAAAAATGCCTTGTTGATGTCAGTGGTCAGAGGAGGATGGGCAGACCGGTTCGAGATGACAGAAAGTCAACAGTAACTCAAATAACTCGTTACAACCAAGGTATGCAGAATACCATCTCTGAATGCACAACACATCCAACCTTGAAGCAGATGGGCTACAGCAACAGAAGACCACACCAGGTGCCACTCCTGTCAGCTAAGAATAGGAAACTGAGGTTACAATTCACACAGACTCATCAAAACTGGACAACAGAAGATTGAAAAAAACGTTGCCTGGTCTGATGAGTCTCGATTTCAGCTGCGACATTCAGATGGTAGGGTCAGAATTTGGCGTCAACAACATGAAAGCATGGATCCATCTTGCCTTGTATCAATGGTTCAGCCTGGTTGGGTGGTGGTGTAGTGGTGTAGTGGTGTGAGGGATATTTCCTTGGCACACTTTGGGCCCCTTAGTACCAATTGACTTAATTGTTGCTGACCATGTCAACCCTTTATAACCACAGTGTACGCTTCTTCTGATGGCTATTTCCAGCAGGATAATGCACCATGTCACACAGCTCAAATCATCTCAAACTGGTTTCTTGAACATGACAATGAGTTCACTGTACTTCAATGGCCTCTGCAGTCACCAGATCTCAATTCAATAGAGCACCTTTGGGATGTGGTGGAACGGGAGATTGCCATCATAGTTGTGCAGCCGACAAATCTGCAGCAACTGCGCGATACTATCATGTCAATATGGACCAAAGTCTCTAAGGAATGTTTCCAACACCTTGTTGAAAGTATGCCTCACAGAATTAAGGCAGGTCTGAAGGCAAAAGGGGGTACTACCTGGTACTAGCAAGGTGTACCTAATAAAGTGACCGGTGAGCGTATATACTGTTCAACAGAAACACAGATACCGTAGTTTGACTGAGGCCACATCCACACTACTGCATTTTAGTTTTAAATTGGAGACCTATTGCTACGTTTGGACCTCCCGTCCAGACTAAAACAGCGAAAACGGAGAAGTCTGAAAATGCCGCACACCCTGTTTTTCATTTTAAAACTCTGGGTAGTGTCTCAGTACAGGAGTTTTTGATTTGGTATTTTTATGAAAATATTTTGTACAGTGCAAATAACACTTAAAGCTTACACTTGTACTGTGCAAGTCACCGTTGACTTTGTATTCAGTAATAGTTCCAGCTTGCTATTGGTCCATACAAAATAAAATCTGGTGTGATTCTTCGTCTGCATAACTTTATTCTTTCGCCAAATCTTCTGTAACTACGGAACAGGCCATCTGCTTCATGTTTACACCGGCACGCGCATGCTCAGTAAATGAACAGCATCTAGATGTGCGTTTTCAGTAGTTTTAATATAGACAAATATCAGCTCTGATATACAGTTAAAACACTGGTGTGGACGGAGATCGTATTTGATTTAAAACTCTGTTTTTAAACAAAAACGGAGCAGTGTGGATGGGGCCTGAGTAAGAGAGATGTGCAGTATGTGGGTGGAGAAATAGCCGTCTACCTTGTTCCTCAGGTATTTGGACGGGCTGCGTATGTCAGCGTTGAGGTGAGACATGTGGACGAATTTTGTGATGCCGGCCTCTCTGGCTGCCTTGGCAATCTGCTGTGGGATGCTCACAAAAACATCCTCAAAGCGATAGTTCCTTTACACAAAAAAGGAGAAATACTTGCTTGTGAATACTTGCTAAAATTTACACAGCTATTCAGCAATGTACTCCAAAATTCACCTATACCTACATCTCCAAAATGTCAAATAAATACAATTCTATTTAATGTGAACAACATAATATCAGATAAATCAGATGCTTTAAGACATTTTACCATGTCTCCCACTCTCTTCCCACTAGGTTGATGACAACATTAGAGTGCTCCAAAGCCCGTTTGATGGAGTCTTTGTTCCTGGCATCCCACTCCTGCAGTAAGAAAGACAGACACAACACATTAGCATTTAATTTACGGCTCTAAATGCAACATTTCTGCAAGGTGCCCGTATGCATCTTACCATGAAAATTATTTGTCCAAGATCACCCATGGGCCTAAAGTACATGATGTCATACTGATCACAGCGGTGAGGGACTACAATCTGAGAGCCAATCCGACCTGTAGAAATCATCAGTAAATAAACAAATACAATATCATGTTTGTTTCATTAGCAGTTTTTAGGGGGAATTGTTTTTAAAATCGATAAATCGGAAATTGATAGCAATAATATAAATACATCAACTTCACAGCCGCTTCAATTACAATGTCCAACTGTGCTTAGAAATCTTGTTTCTTATGATTTAAAGACAATCGAGTTCAATAAAACCCAATTCAAACAATGTTAGAGTAAGACCTCTTATGGGATGACACGTTAACAGCAAATAAGACAACATTACAAATAAAATTGTTCATCAGATGTGATGTTTACAAGCACTATTAGAGTAGTAAACTAGTTTGCATATAAGTTAGGGTCAGTATTTATGCTATATTTTTTGTAACTCACCCAGCCTATTGACTACGTATCGGCCCAGAAAACCTGTGGCACCAAACACCGTTGCTGCTATTCCACTGGAGGAGGAGCGTCCTCCTTTCCCTTTGGGGACAACAGCATGGTGAAGCTTCCTCTGCTGGACTGTTGAGATGGATGCAGCTGACAACACAGCAGGGGAGCAGCTACCTAAAGAGGAGAGAGGGACACAGGCAGCTTATGATCCGAGTCAAGCAGTAAGATACACTCAGTTGTCACAGCATTAGGTGCACCTTGCTGAAACTAATTAAGCAAAACATATTTCCTTTATGGAGGTTACAATGTTTTTTATTGAAACAGTGTTACAGTTTATTTGGAGTGCTCTCAAATTGCATGGCATTACACTTACTGAGTTGTTACTAAATCTTATTGTCATTTAAAGTTGTATAAATGGGACAGGTATTAGAAACACTGCTAAAATTGTAATTATCCATGCTTAATATGTAACACTGAACATTGTACTGCTGTGGTGCTGTATGTCACTATTTATTTGATTACACTGTATTTTACACACTACAAACTAGCTGTAGACTAGTGGTGAAGAAATTACTGTATGCACTGACCAGATGAAATTAACCAACACATGAGCAAAAAGGCATCTTAAAACTCTGGATGTTTTTTTTTAGGAATAATACAATTCATAACAGGAACCTTTGAATATGCCAGTGGATGAATAGTATATATCCACATCACATAATAATGTTAATGAAACTCAGCTGTTGTGAACCATAGAGCAGACAGGAGCTAACGCGACCTCGGGGTCCCTGCACAAACGCCTGTAACGTTACATGCAATGTCGATGTACCATACCCTTGTCACTGTAAAACAGATCAGTTAGTCATATATATATAAAAATGTTGATATCTTTCCAGGGTAAAAACATATCGTGGCGTTAATTCATGTTCATAAACCAAGTGTTTTGTTTTGAGCCACTATAGCAGAGGCCACGTCAAGTTTTCCACCGGAAAAGACAGCGGCTGATCCTCAGCTTAATTTAACGCATTACCCTTCATTTATTAACGCTAATGCACATAGTGATGCGGGTGGTAACGTGGTGGTCAGATAGCTGGTGACACAATTATTGAAACGGTCCAAAGTGAGCTAATAGCTAGCTAATCCCTAGCTAGCAGGTGACTAGCCGAACCGGTTAGCAAGGTCACTCGAGCCGAGTCTTGGGTCTAACTGTGAGCCCGTGTTAGAGTAGCTAGGTGTGAATATCTGAAACCACAACATCGTACTCTAACATGTTTATGTCATTGAGAAATGCCTACTGTTTAGACACTACTCACTTGAAATTTTTGGAAGGACACTCGCAGGACGGCTAACCAGCGCCACGGTCGCCATCTTTCCGACTACGGCATACTTTGTGTGCCAAAATACACGCATGTCAATTCTCGACAGCGCTACAGTAGTAACGTTATCTGTAGAGTTGCGCGCACACAATGCTAAAAACACCTCTGATTTTAAAGATGTGGTCCTAACAATACAGAACGTATCCAGAATGTGTGTATGTCATGCGGACACAAGTATTTAAATGCATGGAAATGTCTCTGGCAAGATCATATGACATCCTATGGCAGGCCTGAGAGAGTTCAGAGAATTGCACAGACTGTCAGTTTCTGTTTTCACTTACTGTTTCTTTCAGTGGTTTACACACTAACACTAAAATGTAAACCTGTAATTAATGTACCAACCCACTGAACCTATTCTGCTAAAATACAAGCACATTCCCTGAGCACAGAATTCTCACCATTTGACACAAGATATGAATACAATCTCTTGTTTTCATATGGAACATATGGAGTGAGACTAAGAGAAGGAGGACGGGGTGGAGGAGGATGGGTATAAGACCAAGACCAAGACCAAGACCAAAAGAGCCATTATCTCTGATGAGATTGGGAACTGTATTCCTACCTTCACAGTATTTACATTATTTTACTTTATTTGCATCTTTTGCACAACAGAAAGATTACCTCCACAAAGTGGTAGGGAACACCTTCTGTCTCCTTAACAGGAGCCTGAAATCATTAACATGGTTCTAGAAAACAACAACATAACACCAAAGCAAATACAAAGTAAAAGCATAGACATCAACGCAATGACATATTCCAAAATGTTGACAGAGTGAGTTTATCAATACTGGACCATGTCATGCGCCGAAACCAGATGAGGATGAAGTAGCTCTAAAGGGGTGCCATTCGAAAGGAACACAGAAAGAGTCAAATATCCACATTTCCACAATTGATGCTTGTGCTATTGTCAAAGTCCCTGGCCAGCAAGGAAGCAAAATCACTGTGTCTGCAGGCATTGACCACCACAGCTTCATCCATCACTATGCCACCCTTGGCCGCTACAACACTGCCTGTCTTATCACATTCCTCGATACACTACACAATATGCTCATTCTGCCAGACCAGATAGATGGCTCAGAGCAGCCCAGGTACTTTGTCATGCTATGGTCAGCAACTGGTTCTCCCACACTTTTCAGTAGTTTATCTCCCCACCATATATCCTGATAAGGCATTCATAATAATGTTTTACACTGAGCACATCAGTGTTCAATTGGTTCTTAGAAATTAAGATGGTATATGTGTGTAGCTAAAAATTAGGTATGCTTTCAGAAAAAACTATAATAAAACATTCCTTAATCAGTGTGGAGGGGTTATAAATGTTTGTTTTTACCTTTAATTGATAAAAAAATTGCTTTTAAAAATGTATTTCAATCAATTCTAAAGGACTCAGGATTTGCAACTTGCTGTTTACAGTTTTTTTCTGATTGCTTAGGCACAATTTTTTAAACTATTGGCGATTTTTGCAAAACTCAACACACTAATCAAAAAATAAAACATCATACATCTCTTGCAAAAGCAAACCATTCTTGCAAAGCTCTTCAAACTCTTTTAAAAGCAAGAAAACCAGCATCTCGTGGAACAAGTTGTTTGTTCACCCCAGAGCCGGAGTGACTGCATCACACTCAGAGAACATACTGGTACCACCACATAGAGTCTCTCTGCATTGGGTGAAGCTGCTGTACAGAGTCATTTTCAAAATAAACTCAATTCATGTAAAAGAAGTGAGAAACACACATCCATACTTTACACATTTGGGCACCTGTGTGTATGTGAGTTTTACTGTATTACATGCATGACAAAACCTTAATGCAAACTGCTATACACTACACTGAGAAAATGCAAAAGCCACAAGTGTTTTTCATTTTTACCATCAGCGCATAGTTGTTGCTTCATGTGCTTATTCAAAGATGTTTGTGTGGACTGTATTGATACAAAAACACAATTTCAGATTGAGGAGTTTTGTGAGAATTGTTGGCATTTGCAAGAGATGTATGATGTTTTGTTTGTGATTAGTGTGTAGAGTTTTGCAAAAATAGCCTATAGTTTTAGAAATTGTGCCTAAGCAAACAGAAAAAAGCTGTAATGGTTCAATGACATAGCACAGTAGAAGGTGGCAGCACTGTGCAGCAAATGCATGTAGCAGCTGGCCAATCAGAGCTCATGTTGCTGTTCTGAGGGTGGAACACAACATAACATATATTTGTTATGGATTGCAAAGCAAAAACAGCAAATGTTAAAGTAAGAGACACATTTTGTGAGATGGAATATTATAAAGAGACATTAAGTTGTACTTTGGCAGCTACAATTAATTGAAACATGTATTCAAATTTAACATCATAAAACCTTACAACTAGTCTGTGGTCTGAGTCAGACCTGAACAATCTGCCAACAATGAGTCAGTATCATTTCAAGTTGAATCATGGAAACAAAAACACAGAATATGGTCTTTGAAACAACTTTTTATTTCATCATATAAGACATAAAAACGTACTTTTCTTATTTCAGCTACAATCCATCCTCTCTGGATCGCTGGTTGCTTAGCTAATAGATAAAGAGGGCACAGGTCTATCTTCAAATTACACTGGATCTCTGTTGGCGACTAAAGACGAATCAACTGTTAAAACTTGGTTATGTTCTGTATTAGCTGAGACATCATTATGTCAAATAAGAGGGATCTGGCAGGGTAGTCCGTACCCTTGTCTCTTTGACAGGTAAGAATGTAATGTTTTTTTATCCAGGTGTACACACACAACAGTAAAGTGCAAGATTTCTAATACTGCAAGGCACAAACTATCAATAATAGGATTGTCTTTATGTTTCTAATATAAAAAAATATTATAACACTTACAAAATGTTTTCATACAGAAACAACACAAGTAAAACCTTGTCTAAACCCTCCACAAATATCTGAAATATTTTCTTAAAATATGTTCTGTACACATACATAGGAAATTACAGCAGAAATATATACAATAAATTCTATTACAAATACATATTTTATGATTGCTGAATTAAATTGTTGAACAGATATGAAACATAGGATCGAACATATTCCATAATAAACAAGTGAAATCATTAGTAATCAATATGTCATCAACTGCATTCTACAATTAAAAAGTACACAACAATAATTTTATTTCTTTGTTAACATGATAAAAAAAAACATTTTTGGCTCAGCCTTTATTGCACACAAATATTTCACCATTATGAAAGTAATGCTAAAATGTCTAAAAGAAAAACAAATAAAAAGCAAAAACAAAGATTTGATAAATTTTTTACCCACGCACTTTTTAAACTCAGATACTTTTAACATGGAAAGTGAGAAAAGTAAAAATTGTTGAAAGTCTAACCTGTTTATCAAAAATGTCAATGCACAGCAAAGATTGGGTTCAATAAACAGTGACAGCAGAAAGTTAGTGCTGCACTATGTATTAGGTTTTTAACCATTTGATCTAAATTCAAGATGTGCATTCTTATGTGGCAGACAACTTGATTTCTCAATTGTGACACATTTAAACATAATGCCTGTCTGTAACTGCATCTTAACTCCTTTATATAAAAAAGTACAACTGGTTGATTGACCTCACTGTTATACAAACTCAAAGTTCCACAGAAAGAAATAATACTCTATAACCGTATACTTAAAACAATAAATAGAAGATGCTGATGATCAGTGTGTCATCAATAATTTGTTCATGGCACATGGGAACTGGTTTGTTTCCTGTCAGCAGGAAACATCCACTTGATCTGTTTTAAGACTTAAAATCCAAAACTCAGACTTGATGTGCTCTAACATGTTGTTTTGTGATGTCATGTAGACACACAAGCAACATGACAGCGTTTGTCGCAAATAAGAGAAAAGGGATCTTTTAATTTTCTGTGTGTGCAATGCCTTACAGATTCAACCATCCATTTGCTTACACTTCAAAAACTTGGTTACTCTCAGGTGGGAAGTGGGACATCCCCAGTTCCCACATGTCATGAACGCAGCACGATTCCTTTTGACTGTTAGATGATAGGGGGCAAACACTGAGACGGTTCCTGGCTTTCTTTTTTCTCTGTGCCCACTTCCTCTTGAGGCTTGATGATGATGTGAACAGGCCTCTCTCCACCTCCTTCTTGCTGCTTGGTATCCTTGGAGAGCTTGCCCTCATTCTCATACACCTCCTCCTCTGCTGAGGCCCCGATGGGCCGCAAACGCTCGGCAGGGGCCATCTTAGTTCCTGTTGCTGAACCGTCTCTCTTCAGCTTGTCAGTAGTGCTGCTCTGTGAGCCGGCCTTCTCCACTGTACCATGGAAACAAAGGACATTACATGTCAGCTCAAGGCGAATACAAAACAATTCTGTAGGCATGTCTGCAGCTATGGATGCAGCTAATAGGTATCCTAATAATAACAATGTGACATTCAAGCGAGCAGCACATACCTATTCAACCTGATCTGTCCAGATTTTATAGATGACAGGCAAGTCTTTGCTCTATTTAGCAGTTTGTTGTATCTACCATTTTTACTTGTGTGGATATTATATTTCAAATATAGTACAGATGATAAAGTGTGTGTTCTCTTACCAGGCTTGCCGTTAGCTTGTTTGCGGAAACTGTGCTCACTGCTATTCTCTGTGCTGGTCAAACTGTCGGAGGTCTTCTTTGCTGTTGGCCTGGCTCTAGGCCGGATTTTGTTGAAATTTCCCTCCAGGATCCATTCATGCTGTAACCCCTCATCAGGGGTCATACGCTTGGTTGGATCCCAACTGAAAACACAGAAAAACAATATAAGTCTGCAAGTGCAGATTGTTATTTAATCTTTAATAAAGTACTGTTCAAGCATACTTTAATTAAAAACTCTTTTTATGCAGTCCATTTAGGATGTGAGACAGATAAAGGCAAAACCTGTTCTCGAAGACAGTCAAGAAGAATCTTAGAGTGAACTTACGTGAGGCAGCGTTTGATAAAGTCTAAGAACAAAGCATCATTGGTTTTCAACGCAGTTGACAGCTCCTTGGAGTTGGGTCTCCTCTTCTTCCCCTTGCTGTTAGTGATGTTCCTTGGGTTTCCTTTTGAGTCTGCACAAAATTATCAAGCACAGTACCGATTTATCATCTTGACACATATAGAGTTATCTCACACCTTCTGCAAAGTACTAGCCTAGTTGTTCATTTATCTTCTGATAAAATTTAGTAATCCTATAGTCTACATTGTTTGCTGTACAGCACATAAAATATCACAACTATGTGCAGATAAATTCTCACCAAAGAACAACCTCTTCCTGGATGCTGACTGAACAAAATCATTTGGAGGCATTCCAAGAACCTGTAAGTGAAAATATCAGGACACCTTAACACAGTGAAGCAACTCACCAACCATATACTGTGCATTTACAGTTGTGAAACATGCAAAATAAACACAATAAATGTGGATATGCAGTTTTGTCCATATCATACCTCCATTATGCAAGCTATCTGCTCCACTTCGCTCTCTCCAGGGAAGAGAGGATAGCCTGTGTAGAGTTCACCAAGGATGCAACCCAGACTCCACATGTCAATGGCCATGCTGTAGGGGTGACCTAGGATGACCTCTGGAGAGCGGTAGAAGCGACTCTGAATGTAGGTGTACACTATTGGAAAAGAAAGAAGAGACCGTAAGGAATATGAGATTTTACCTCTCTGGACCAGTCCAGGCTATTTCTTTGAATATCGTGACATGGTAAAAAAAAGTATTGTTACATATTCTCTCAATTGAGTTTTACACTCTTACCCCTTTGTTGTTCATAACAGCTTGATCCAAAGTCAACCACCTTGATGTTCCCTGGACCTCGCTGAGACAGAAGGATGTTCTCCTGTCAGAAGTAGAAGGAAATACATTCAAACACTTTTAAATAATGCTGCTGCAATATTCTACGGCTCCACAAGATGGAGTGAAATTCACACTGTTCAGGGGAAACCTCTGTAGTAAAATTATCAGGATTCAGTGCAAAAGTTCACTATATTTAAAATTGTGTCTCATATTCAATATCCCCAAAAAAGAAGTCAAGGTATTATAGAAACTATGAAGTCAGTACCGGTTTGAGGTCACAGTGGATAATCTTCTCCCTGTGCAGCATCTGCAGGCACCTGAGGAGAGCATGGGTAAACCGACGGATGAGAGCGAGACTGAAGCCCTGGAAGTTGTTTTTTTTGATGAGCTCGTACAAGTTCACCCTGATAAAAGAAACAAAATGTGGTGGATGGTTAGTTCATAATAATGAAAATTGTAAAATAGGAACTATTGTTCTCTTTACTTTTATATTTTTTCTTTTTCTCTCTATGCACGTTGTTCCGACAGTACTAGGGACAACATGGCTGAGTGAGCCCAACAGAAGAACTTCTTCATGTTCCCCAAATAAACGATCTGAAAAAAGAAGGCTGCTAAGTCTGATGTCACCCTACACTTTACATTACCAGTAATAAAACATCTGCTGACTGTCAAGTGCATACTTGGAAATAATCTATGATTGTGCTCACATTCAGAGGGAGACACAGCGTGTGTCCTCCTGCTATTTCTTGCTACTTGTGATAAGCATAAACATCTTTAGACTGTGTAACTGGAGCCTTCACACCCTGAAGCAAGAAGGGGTAAGAGATAGGGCCCTAATCAAGGCCTTAACTAAAGGATTCGGTGACAGTAATGTTAGAAGGTGGCAGTCCAAGACGTCCTCTAAAGGTCATTCAGCCAGAGTGATACACAAAACTATCTCCCCTCTCCCCTCCACTACATATCAGTGGCGATCCATGCTAAAACGCAAATGGCTCAAGGTGCACAGGTGATCACTTAACGCCTGATTGACTGTATTAGAACTAATGAATAGAGACAAGTGAGAAGACAGTACAATGATCTAACCCTGCTGTTGTACTCTGAGTAAGGTGGCTAACCTTGAATACCTTTGATTAACAGATTAATTATTCAGTTATGCCCTTATGGTCTCCTGTAAGACTAACTTCTGTACATGTAGGTCTGCTTGTTTGCATGCAGAATGGGAGTTGGCGTACTAACCCGAGTAGCTCAAAGGAGATGCACAGGTGATTTCGGAAGTAAAAGTACTCCTTCATGTGGATAACGTTGTGGAGGTTGTCTTTGTCTTTCCTCTTTATTACATCCAGGATCTTCAACTCAACCAGAGCTTGGTGATGAAACCTGCAGACAAATTTACAGGAGGTGTTAAAGACTGAAATTTAACAATATTGCATGGAATTTCACCATTTATTTCTGAATGTCCAGGTGTAGCAGGACTTGAATAAATAAATGTATGTATCCAAGTGTGTCATATTCCAAAGACGTGCCAAAATGGTGAAAAATAAATATAAGACCTCTTTGGAAACTTATGATGTATTATATGAACTTTTCTGCCGTCAGTTTTCTGAGATAGAGAGGTTTCTCCCAGCACATCAATCATTCAAAACTGCCAACCATTCACAAAACTGCCAGGAAAGATAAGATCGGCTAACTCAGTGCTCCAGTTCTCCTGAGGCAGTGCTGTGGCAGCTTGCACCCATTTTGTTTTCTGCATTATTGAAGTGGCGGTAAGACCCGACAGCTCTTATATCTAACCTACAGGACTTGGGCAGTCACAGCCTTTGTGATCCTCAGTGAGGAAGGAGAGGTAAGATAACACCATGAGGTGCCGTCTTGTATCATGCTAAATCAGGATCTCAACGATTTGGCAGACTCCTAACATGTAAAATGATCACGGTGCAGGCATGTGGGAATACTTCACAACGGGGTATCAGATCTTCAGTGAATGCCAAAAGTTGACTCCTTAATGTCACAAATAACTTATTCTATAGGGTATCTAGTGAAGTATAATGTCATCTAAATTTAACAGTAGTACAGGAGGCGTTTATAAAAATATTCTGGTTGAATAAGTTGAAAATGTATTTCAGTAAAGGTTCAATCAAATGTGACCTGGTCAGAATGAAATGAACTGTATCAGAATCAAAATGCACCTTTTCTTATTGCGAATCATCTTAATGGCTACGAGTTCATTGGTCTTGTGGTCCAGACATTTCAGGACCTGCCCAAAGGAGCCTTTCCCAATCACTTCAAGCACTTCAAACCTGTAGCCAATGTGGTCGTGCAGCACCTGGAAAAGCGAGAGGAAGAGCACAGTGAATTTTATTTTATATAAAATGACTTCATATAAAAATGTCAATCACTAACAGCTAAATTAATAAACGCAAAACATTGTGATTTGCAGAATTTTAATCTACCACGGCTACTGTTAATTGCTGTACATGTTATTTACTCAGTGACACTATTTTTCCTAGGCTGTGCTCACTTACACTAATCTGCAGCTACAGTATTAACTGTACCGTGGCTTTGCTATAACTGTCTGTTCACTCCTGTGACAGTGACATGAGCCTCAGTAGGGATATCAGAGTCTAAACAATGGGCAGTCACTCACCTTGAAAGAGCTCATTCATTACATATTGTCTAACACACAACTGCCTGTCAGTCACCTTGTTTATACAGGACAGTTCAGCCTGTTGTCACAGGGTTTGATGACCTCAGTGCAGTTTATTGTAAAACAGTATTCAGCAATGAAGTCAGTCCAACAGAATGGCGGTTTCATGTGTGCAGCTGCTGGATTAAGGTCATACGAAGGCATCTGGTCATGTACAGTTCAGCTTAGGCAGCTTGAAAGCCTGTGTGTGTGTGCGTGTATATGTGTGTGAAATTATAACTAATATCAACTAAATGTTTTCTCATCTCCAGTCTATCTTCTTACTTTGAAATTATTTCAGTGTCTTCATTTATATACACATTCTATGCACATTGCATGCACATATATGCTTTTAAATAGGACATAAACTCTGAATAACGACTGGGGATTTTACAGATCCATTTATGCTGGTTTTGAATGCATTAGCAAATTAAATACAAAATGTGTACAATTGACATCACTGCTGACTAATTTTTCAATTATACCCATAACTTTGAATTCTTCCTTTATTTCCAGTAGCTCAGTTCTTGCAATTACTAATTAAAAAAACAACATTCTTCAAATTTCACCTTCGTCACCTTTATTTTTTGGTCAAAGCTCAGACTGTTTAGAAACCTCTTTGTTGGAGCATTCAAGTGCTTCTGGGAACTGTTAACATCTAAGACATGGCAGTTGACTGTAAAACAGCAAACTTTTTTTTCAGTGAAAAACGCTTACATGTTTCTTTTTCATGATGTCTGTTTAATGTGTCAGGCTCAAGTTTCAACCAGAAAGCTGACAATAGTTGGGAAGCACTTTGTGACAAGGAAGAATTGTCTAGCCATAACAAATGGTCTGACTAAATCTTTATTGTGATAGAACACCAATCTCAACAAACACTTTTTGTAGTCTCTGCAAGTTGATTTCATATAACTCTGACACGAACTGAGACCAATTGGTGCCTGGAAAGTATTGAAGTAAAAAATGGCCAGCAATAATATAAGACAGCTTAAATTAGATTTAATGGGGTATTTTCTGTTAGTGCTCCATCTAAAACATTACCCTGATGTAGCTTCCATGCTCGTCATCATATCCAGAGTTCTGCGGTGCACCTTGGGAGCCCTCTAGCTTCTGAGAGCCCAGACCCAAGAACCAGATCTCTGCGTAGTCCATGATTTCTTCCTGCTCAAACTCCGTCAGCCGCTCCTGGAAGTTCTTCAGTGCCTCTGCAACCGGATGTAAGAGGAGGAGGACAGGATGAGTCACTGTTGTATTGATTGTACCTCTGCAAAGAGCAAGTGATTGTGAACACCCGGCTTTAACGGCAGCGTGCAATTTTTTTATTGCATCAGTAGAATCAAAATGTTTACTTATTAACATACTTGTGTTTAAACACCCCCGAAAAATTGAAAATGTGAAATAACGTCTCTGTGCCTTTCTAATTCTGTTGTATTGTATTCTTATTCATAATATCATACCTATGGGGGACATGGGTAACCTTTGTCCCTCATATGACCTCTCTTTGTCCAGCTTGTTGCTGATAATCTTGCTGTTGCGGGAGACTGACACTTTATCCATTGCTGCACCAAACCGCATGGCGAACTGCTGGGTGGGCTTCGGCCTCTCATCCTGTACAATAAACACACATAGAGAAAGAAGGGTGCCTTTATGAGCAAAGAAGTACATTGAACTACACTGTGACCTTCATGATGCTTTCACAGTGAACCATGTCGCTAAAACTACTCTGCTGAAACTACTCTGCAGTGTGTCAGTTTTGAGTTTTATTAGCTACTTTGGGGAAATACTGATGCTGCTAGTGTGTGAGAGTCTTACCGGGTGTGTCTGATAGTTGTTTTGGCCCCCTTTGTTGGCAATTTGGGGCAGGATGTTGTCCGACTGCTGGTGTTGGTTTTTGGCATTGCTGACCACCACCTGGACCACCGGTGGCTCAAGCTGAGGCAAGGTCCCTACACCAGGGCCAAACTTCTGCAAGTCAGAGTGGTTGTTTTAATTTTATTGCATTCCATAAAGAAGACTAAATATTTGATAATATATTATATTTTCCTAAATATTCTCTCTCTTTACAGTCTGTCTTCATCTAAGAAAATCAACAAAGAAATTGGCTAACTTCCACAGCTAGAACAGAACAACAAATACTGAAATGCACATCCAGTTGTAAACACACAACAAAAGCAGCTTGGGAGAGAGCCTCAGCAAGTGTGAAGTCTAAATGCAATATTCGTTTTTACACTGTACGTACAAGCTTGTTACAGCCCCTTTCATTTTTTCATGAGTACGTGTTTGCGTCTGGCTCCAACTCGATTTACATCCCTTTCGAATGCATTTCGTCTGTAGCGGCTCATGTGATCAGGATCCCCCCAGCAGGTAGTGGCTAGAATTACGGATCAGGGTGAGAGTGAAATGGGGACAACGCCTGTGTGTCTGTGTTCTGACAGAGTCTGTCTGTGGTGGCTCTATGGGGGAGGCAACCTGCTTTTCTCTGGCTGCCATTCTGCTTGCTCAGAGAGCATGATTACATGTGTCAAAGACAGGCTCAGCCCTGGTAATGATGGGCCAAATTAGACTCTGTCCTATGCCAAGCTCTCTGTAAATGTCCTATAGATGTGTTTGTGTGTCAAGAGAGCAATTTTAGAGTGTATTTAAGACATATTTTCATACATTTCGCTGCGATTCCACTTAAACTTCAGGTGGAAAATTTCAGAACAGACCTTCATCCTGCTATCATATAGCCTTTAGCAATGTACCCTATTAGCAACATGATGAATTCTTTCATACTAATTATTAACAGCATTCTAGGAAAAAACACTTTCCTATCCACACAGTTGATGTTCTAATATTTCATCTCACGTGTTAAGAGCGGCTGCAGGATCTGCCAACTTGGTTATGACGCATAGAGATAGGGCTAAATATAGTTGCAAGCACCTGCCACAACAGGCAAAGGAAGTAAACACAGTTATGTGCCGTGCTTGTACATAACTGGGGGGCATGCTGCTTCAGTATGATGCACTTGTGTCAATGGAAATGTGTGATGCGTTGTACACCACATAACCACATATATGCAGACAGCTGTAACAGTAACATTTATGTTTTTGTAACATCTCAGGAGTAAATAAAAGTACAATATAGATGACCTGAATTGTGAACATGGATAAGTTTAAGTTAGGGACATATTTTCAAAGGAGCTTCAATATAATGATCAAAACATAATTCTCAGTGATGCATGTCAAAGCTATGGATTTCTAAAAGAAGAAGAAGGAGAAGAAGAAGAAGAAGGAGAAGAAGAAGAAGGAGAAGAAGAAGAAGGAGAAGGAGAAGAAGGAGGAGAAGAAGAAGAAAAAGAATAAGAAGAAGACCTCACGTAATTCAACATGTTCTGGGTACGGGTCAGCTGCTACAGCATCTTGCAGAGGGGAAGTGCTGACCTGTGAGCAGGGTCGGGTTGTTCCAAGACGGTTGCCTTCTGCTGGGAGTCTGTGAGGGTGAGGGAAGGCCTCCGGTCGTGATGTCTTTTGGGAGGAATGAGAGCAATTCATAAAATACAAGAGCTATAGTCACATGTGCGCATTTTTGTTCTACTTCTGTGGGTAGCTTTATTTCTCTTTTGCAATGATTTTTCATACAGCACAATACATAACACCATCCCCAAAGTCAGATTTAAGAAATAATTCTACAACAAAAGAGATAGATGGAAGCAGCATAATCAAATAGCTCTTTACATAACAGAGGAGAGGATAATGCAGAGGTAATAATTATGTAATACCATGCAATTACCAAAATAATAACCAGGTAATAGCTTGGTATTAACCATGGGTCTATCTGGGTATTATAAGACTTAAATTTATGTAACAGGTTAATAAGGGAATAATGAGGCAAAACGTAACACTATAGCAATATTTAGGCAACAATTTGGTAACCTGCTAACAATAAAATGGGTATATCGGTCATTAAACTTTTGATTTGTACAGTATTACCTTGATACTAAAGGGAATGTCTGGGACATAAGGGAGGAAGACATTTAGCATTATAATATGGTAATTACTGATTTTGGCTTCCAATAATGTTTATGTGATTTTGAAAGAATTACAGTGACAGTAGCTATTACCACATTATTATCAGGTTATTACCCTATTAATGTCACCATATTTCCATTTTATATTCCAAATAGAAGTAGTAGCACGGATATATATATATATATATTTTATTTGTTAGAAGGTTACCATATTGTTACAAGATTAGAGGATTGTAAAATATTACTAGACTATACTAATAGTTTTGCCTTATTGCTATCTTTAAATGTATTTCTCTGTTATTACTCTTCCAGCCTAATATAAGCCAGATATAGCCATTGTTAAGACCAAGCTATTACATGGTATTAATTAATTATTACTTCTTTATTATCAAACTATTACCCCACTATTACTGCTGGATATGTAATGTAAAGTGCTTTGTGTTTGTGCTGCTTGGATTCTCCAGCCTCTCCAAAAACACGCAGCCTGTGGGCAGCTGAGCGTGGTTGCAGCCAGACTAGCAGAAATAATGCACTGTGATCCTAAAATAGATTACTTCTGCAAAAACCCAGCAACAATGATCTAGTATTCTTTGTGTACCAGCTGGTTTGTGCAGGTGTGTGCACATGTGCACATCCTTGTGTCTGGCATAGTGTGCACATGTGCCTCCAAGCCTATGCACACTGGAGATCCACTTGCCTCAATGTGTTAAAAGGAAGCGATGGATGTTGTAAAAAACCAACAGAGTTCCGGATATTCTAAAAAAAGGTACCACAAACATTTGGGATAATTCTGCACGCTTCTCTCCGACAATCAGCCAGCTTACACGTGCCGCATTAATCGGCATATGGGTGAAATAAAGCTTAGCCCCATATGGGGATACGTGCTAAACTCGCTCTGCCAGCCTGGCAGTCGGGGAGGGAGGGGGTGAGACAAGCTGGGTGGGTGTTAACTACCCAATCATAATCTTACACTTTACCACTGACTGAGAAGCAAAAGCAACAGGTCAGTATCACGGCCAAGTCATGGCAGTAACCCCAGAGGGAGAAGTATGAATTCATCCAGCCCTGCAGAGGAAGATGAGTTAATGAAGTGACTTCTTCTGAGTCTTACTGGTCACTGGGTAAAACTAAACACATCCTGCAAACACTCACTGGCTTTTCTCTTCACATCAAGGTTGTTATAATCCTTCAGTAAGATGAGAAAACGACACGTAGCCAAAGAAGGGAACGCTGCAATAATGTAGTCATGTTGCAAGCTCAGGTTGAGATGCAATGTGAGTGACAGCAGGGGCCATGTAGGTCAATGTGGCAGGCTGGCTTCTAAAACATCACATGTAAAGGTCTGCTGTAAGCCTGGCTAATGAGCACTGAGCCAGTGGAAACCCAGTGACATCATAAAATATGCCCAAGAGCCCAAAAAAAATAAACGACTGTGACCTTTTATTTCATGGTGTTGAATGAATTTTAGTAGCTTTACTATACACAGTAACCATAATCACAGATCAATCTATGTCATACAAATGCGTGTGAGTTGTTAGGGTAATAATGAGGAAGTGAATGCATACTTATATATATATATATATACACATATAATGTGCCAACAAGTTTAAAAAAAGTTACATACATAAATAAATGGAAGTTACGACAAGGAAACAGAAGTCAAGAGCAATGTTAACTTTGTATCTGTGTGACTGGGGGTCTTTGCAGGAGGTGGGATCATCCCAGCAGGTGTGTGAAAGCCAATTTGGTTCATTAAGGGTCAGTTGGTCAGAGGGTCAGCAAAGCAATACAACCAGGGGTAACTGAGGGTAAACATCAACACTGTAAAACGGTGCTCACTCACACTATCAGCTGTCAGACACGCACAGTATAATCACGCTGTAATTTTCATTACACAGAACAATCTGTTTCCTGAAGGCATCAAATGTAACCACAGGGCAAGGATGCACATTCAGTTCAGCACAATTACTGATCAATCCATTTGATCAAAAAGAGTGTAAGTCGTTAGGATAATTTGTTTATTAAAGCATACATTCCTGTATTTTCAAAATTCTGTTACTAAAACAATTTTAAAGAAAGATGAAATTCTTAATTCATTCTTTGGATTCTTAAGATTCAAAAACAGCGAGGGTTAAATTTATATAAGTTTCCATGTAAGGTGTGAAAAATACACCAGAACGCATATAGACTGACAGAACCTGTCAACAAACACTGACATAAGTAGACTAAACAACGACTGAAATAGAAATCAGATCAGATTTTTCATCTTAACTTGGCATGCGGTCAGGAGAAAGGGCCGACTACAAAATAAGCTTTAAAGTGGGATGTTGTGGAGGAGAAATGGAAATCATTCCAAAGTGGGAATGAGAATCCATTCTTGTCATGGATCAATAAAGATAAACAGAGGATGTACACTAAATGATAGAATTTTCTTTTAGCTTATTTCTGTAAAAGGATACCTGTGCAGGGTTTTTCCCAAAATGGAATTAGCCTGGAATGAAGCTCTGTATCTGGGCAAAAGAAATTCTTATTCCATGAAAAGGAAAGTATGGTAATAATAATATAAACTCTGGCATTGATCAGATAACCAGACCAACACTGCCATTATTAGAAAAGCATACCTACAGTTATACCTACCTAGCTACAGTTATCCACAGGAAATTGCTACCAGGCAACTTGCTAACAAATCAAAGTGCCTCACCTTGTTATTTATTTCTGGCAACATGCTGGGTTGTCAGTGTCAGTCTTTACAGCTGCTTGACAAATCCAAACACAGAGGAAAGATTATACAATCCAAGAAAGAGTCATTGTATCCAACTCTGTCAGTCCAGCCTCAAAACCAAGACACGCTTCCCACGACTACAACTTCGTGAAGAGGACCGAATCTACACTGATGAGTAAAATCCCGATGACTGATCAGCTCCACCGACCTGAAACCCGCCGTACTCCTGGTTTTACGCGCACGGCGTAAATGCGCTGTCGTCAGAGAAGAGATTAGCGAGAGAGGCAAGCTGTTGAGGGTCTCTGCGCCTTGACACGTACTGCTAAAACACTGAAGAGGCCACCTGTTCAGGTTTCTGCCGCTGACAGCTGGGGCTCTCCCAATATAGATTTGTTTTTTTATCCGTTTGCTGTCGTCCACCTACACCATGCTGTGTAACTGATGCGCTCTCCAACACCAACGCCGTACAGAGGGTTCAAACCGACGCACGCACTTCGTGGCCACGCTCAATTTACAGTAAATGTTATGTAGACTGCTCGCTCTCGGGCTGAGTTCCAGAGAGGATCTCCGCGGTCAGAAGCGTGTCACGCAGTCTCACTGTCATTCTGGAAATCAAATATTTCTTCCATCAAGTGAAAAAAATCTCACAATTTCACTTGTTCCCAGCAAAGCGTCTCTTATTAAAGGGTTTCAACTCTCAAACGAGCTGCAGTATATGAAAGGAAAACTGAATATACCTGTCAAAGATGCATCACTCAAGAAAATGTCCACGATAGTTGGGCTGCATTGGATACATTTTTATTATATCACCAAATAAGAATAAACGAAACAAAATTGTCTTTTGAAGAATAGGCGCCTTTCTCTTATACAATCCTTACTGACTCTTTTCAGATATGGGCTCCCAAAGCTGTCAATGACGCTTTTTGCCAAACTGACTGACCAAAAACTGACTGAATAATAATATCATTAAATAATCCATAACTTCAAATAAGTAGCAATTAAAAAATAGAAAACAGAGAGTGAGAGGGCAGCTCCCCTTGTGAAAATGTACAGGCCTGGGACTCTGCACATACATTCTCAACCTAGATAGAATCTCTTTTCGCACAGTAGTGGCCAAAATTGTATAGCACAATTTTTACAAGAACCAACACAGAGCCAACATCAAGGAAAGGAAGAGCAAGAAAAAAAGTGAAAGGTGAAAAAGGTAGACTACTAAGCCTGTGATATCATGTCTGCCGTCAAATAAAGTAATAAAGTAAAAGGGATGTTGAATTTTCTCAACCCAGAGAGCATGCAGTATCCTGAAACTTTAGTTTAACCATGAAAAACATCAGTGATCTGTGAAATCACATCTTGTAACAAGAGACCTGACATTACAGCATCAACACCGTGTTGGAGTAATGATGCAAATGTAAGAAGAGGGCAATTGTTTTCCAGTGACTAATCCCCACTGCAGGGGAGGAACTCAGTTGCTCCATGTGATGAGGAGCCCAGAACAAGCACAGGAGATGAATATGATTAGATGACAGCTGTTATGCAACAGCGCTGGCCACTTCAGTAATCAGCCTCAGCCTTGGGAGAGGATGATATGAGATGAATTATCGAGGAAGCTAAGTTTGCCCTTCATATTACATTCTCCTAATCTATTCCCTTATTCTCTAATCTGTTAATGTAATTGCTGGATCAGACATATGTAGGGTGCTGCTAACAAGCATGCAAAAAGTGACACACAATTTCAGGAGTTATGGTGAGCGTGATCAATCCCTGCTGGTGGTGTGGCTCTGCAGGAGAATGGGGATTGAAACAGGGGAAACAGGTGGACAACCAGAGGAAGACAGGGACACTCTCAGAGGTGAAACATCTGGCATGATTGATAACGACAGGGGCTACAGTAGGAGGCATAAATCATCTCATCAAACCAAAATTACAGCTATTAGCTGGGATGCCGCAGTTTTAGACTAAATCACACATTCTGTCGCACCTAATTTTATCTCTACATCTGTTATCATTTATCTCTAGTGAATATAATTACTCAAAGTATCACAGAACCCACAGACTGTATAAAATAAATGTATGTAGCCCTGGAGGGCCAGAATTGCCAAACTCGACAAGTAGGTCTACATTACTACAGGACACGCCTACTACATGACACACTCTCTAAATGGTTGCAGTTTAGCTAGGTTTAGGCACCAAAATGACTCGGTTAGGTTTAGGAAAAAATGTTAATCCAGAAAGTTATCTCAAGGGGCGTGTCGTGTAGCTGCAGACTGCAGATTGACCCTTCTCAAACTCGAGCCTTTGAAATGATAGTCCACAAACCAATGTGTGACATCCACTTCTTTAATAAAGTCTATGGTAGAACCAAATAAATATTTAGCTTTAAAGAAGAGACATTTTGGGAATTACCATTACCATTTTTATTTGTCAAGAGTTAAATAACCACTCTCATGTCTGTATGCTAAATATGAATCTATACCGCCTGTTAGCTTTGCTTAACATCAAGACTGGAAACAGGGGGCTAAAGCTAGCCTAGCTCTGTCCCATGGTATTGAAATCTGCCTGACAGCACCTCTAAGGGCACACTGAGACCAGGAAAGTCCGCTTTGGTCCTGACCAAATATAATGTTGATTTTATTGTTTGGTGCAGTTTGTTTTAACACTGGCCTTTTTGCAAGTGAACCACAATTTCTAAATAACCACAAGTGTGTTAAGGTCATCCATTAACAGAAATTCTGAAGCGGGAACAGCAGGAAGCTTTCGATTCACAAACAGAACTTTGCTAAATAAGCTCAGGAGGAGAGAACAGGCTCTTACATGTGCCTACCATGGCATGCTGACCGTGGCACTGCACAGAAGACGGATCAGGTATAATGTCTGAATTCATAGACAGAGGCTATGTTCATATAACCAGGTCAACAGCTTATTACATCAGAAATTATTACGGCTATTATTACTGCATACTGCTATGTGTAGTGCTTTCACTAATGAGTCATTTTTAGCTATATCATCACCCCTAATTACAGTGAAAAAATCTGACCCTGTCACACTCTGCCTAGGCACACAGTCCATTTGTCTGTCATATGATGTAGTTATCAGTGTAGTTAAAGACACAATCTGCACTGACTACGAGAAATTGTTAACTCCAAAAAAGGCTCAGTGCTTTCTGCAGCTGTGTCGGATCAAAGTCGGGCCATGTTCACACCTTTAAACGAACCCTGCCAGAGTTTATTTGGGACAGGACCGAGACCACCTCTCACCCGGGTCTCGGTATGGTTGTTTGGTCTGCACCAGGTGTGATTGCTGTATTCACACCTGCCCAAAAGATCCGCACCAAAGGGGGAAATTAACTCACTAATTAACACGCTGTAGCTTGTTTGTTTAATCTGTACAAAAACCAAAGTGTAAAAACATCACATTGTGGTTTTTGGAATATCTGCTGGTTCCCTAGAAAACTCACAGTGATTATTGGACTACGTAAACTGTTTTTACCTTTGGAAAGAGTCAGGCTAGCAGTTTCCAGTCTTCATGCTAAGCTAAGCTAACTGGCTGCTGGCTGGTGCTTCATATTTAGCATACAGGTATGAGAGTGGTGTCAATCTTCTAAAATCATCTAATTCTCGCCAAAAAACAAAACAAAGCGTATCTCCCAAAAATGTCAAACTTGTCCTTTAATATTGAAGCATGCAGAGAAAATGAAAAGCACAAGTCATGCTCCAGCTCTGTACTGCTACACAGTATCTTCTGCATGCAGCAGAGATCAAATAATTCATAGTCAAACATGCATGCAAGTCAGCCACTGTAAACCTTACCACAGTTCACCTGGGAGAGTCATTATGCTGTGTGCATTTTGTCACCCAGGTGACAATGCATTGGTGATGAGAAGCAGCTGGAGCAAAACAAAGCAGGTATTGTATATCTTACCATGATGACCACAAATGTATGAAACCAAGCCCCACTGTTTATGTATGTCTGACATAAGCCTAAACAAGGAGGACTGTGCTACCAGTGAGCGATCTAAAAATAGAGACTTTATGCTCGGAGCAGAAAGACAGAAGAGGGAGAAAGAAAGAGTGTGGGCATGTCTGATGTCCCGTATTGTCTCTGTTGCCTCTAGACATACCTCAGGCTGGACCCTCCTGTTCCTGCCCCAGCAGCAACCGTAGAGGAGGCTAAAACCACAGCAGGCAGGTGAGGTCCCGTCTTCCCACATAGCACATCTCCCCCATGCTGCCACGACCACACCCTGAATCCCACCTCAGCCTGTAGACACCATTTTCAGTAGGTAGTTACTCAGCAGAGATCAGATAAACCCCCTCAGAAGCAAATTGAAAGATGGCGATGATGATGCCAGGCCTGCATTTCCTGCTGCCTTTAGTCTAGAGACTGTACGTCAGGGTGTTGCTCCTTGAATCCATTTCACAAAATAAAATTCTTCTTCGACTCAACAGAAATTTGATGCCATGGGTTTCAGTTAACGCTTTACATTGTCTTCTGTAGATGTGCATAGAACTGACTTCCCAATGCACAACTTCATGTCATTCTTCATTACTCTCCCCTACACTCTGGACTTGGCTGCCGCATTTAAAGTCACATTCTGGTTGTTTGAGACCTCGGTGCCCTTTTGTTTTCTTCCTCGTCCGTTTCCTCCAAACTATTCTTCTCTGCTCCTGGATACAGTGTAGGGAGGCAGGCTGCCGACAGTCAGTGAGAGGATGCTGTTGCTTTGTGCTGTTGCTATAATTGGTGAGGGAGTGCTCTCTGTCTTTGCCGCTGCCAGTGACGTATGGATGGGACTCAACTAGGGACCCATCCTGAGCCGGAGACACAGCAGCAGGGGCCTGGCACTTAGCTTCCTGTAAAAGAGGCCTCTGGGAGTGCAAGTTGGGAGAGAGAGACGGGGTGCAGGACTACAGAGAGAGAGAGAGAGGTACTGTAGATACAGATCCAATGATCCTCCCAGGTGGGCTCTTCATGGGGCTGAGGAAGTCAGACAGGGAGGAGGTGCGGCACTAATGGGCCTCCCATGGGGTTCAACAGACACCTGCAACTTTCCTCTGCCTTCTCACTTGCCGCTGTATCTTGGAGACAAAGTCAGCGGGGCAGTCACACACCCCAACCCCACCGCTTTTCTCCCCCTCCATCTCTTCCACCATTCTCCACCAGCTTTGCTGCTGCCACAAACCCCTGGGGGATGCTGCAGTCTTGCTGACTAATAGTGCGTATAGGTGGAAGCTTATCCCACCACACCCTGGCTGTCTCCTGCCTGGGAACTGCAGAGTCCACAGCAGGACAGGACACCGATGCTGGGTACGAGCTTTATACTGCAGGTGGTCATTGGGGAACAAAGTGTTGTAATTACCTTTCTCTACCTCTTTACACATTGTTGATGATTAAAAGATTTACTGGAGGTGACTAAAAGATGATCAAATCATATTTATAGTGCAAAATCACCAATCCA